GCCCCCCCCCCCCCCCCCGCAAACAAACCCACCCTTCTTGTCTTGGTCGTCTCTTGTCTCCCTCTATCACTCATACAACATACCCTCACTCACCCACAACATGCAGACCCGCGAAACTTCGAGCACCCAACCACCTTCATCCCGGAGCGCTGGTCCCCCGCCGCCGCAAACCTAATCAAGCACAAAGAAGCCTTCAACCCCTTCTTGATCGGCGCCAACTCGTGCGCGGGAAAGGCAATGGCGCTCATGGAGCTGCGCCTCGTGACCGCCCTGATTTTCCGCACGTTTACGGTCCGGTTGCATGCAGTGGCTACGGGAAATACTATTTCTACTACTACTACTACTTCTACTTCTACTACTACTTCTACTACTAATAACAATAACGCCCAATGCTAATAATGCTAATGCTGCAAGGCAAAAGAAGAGCAGTCATGATACGGCCACGCTGCAGCAATCGCCGCTGTCGTATTTCGACGAGCAGAAAACCGGGGCTGGAGGGATTATTTCACGGCTAAGCCGCCGCCGTTTGAGGTTTTGTTGGAGAGGAGGGCGTAGGTTGTGGGTTTCCCTGTTCTGAAGGATGAGGGTTATTGACGATGATGGCGGTGACCGTGACCGTGACCGTGGCGGTAATCGCACTACGCGATAGTATATGGGGTAATGTCATTCTGTTGTTGTTGTTGAAAAGAAAAGCGCTTAGTTTTAGTAAGGGGAAGATTATTTTATTTTATTTTATTTTATTTTTTTATTTTATTTTATTTTTTTTTTTTTTGCATGTTGTTGCATGTTGCTAGGATGGGTATCTATGTGTGCGAAAGATAGGGGCTCTTTAAAGGAGAGAAAGGGGGGATGATTGATGATTATGATTGTGATTGTGATTTCTGGTGATGACGAGATGTGGAATGAGATGATTTTCATCGTAATTGAAAGGGAGTGAGGGTGTGTTGAAATCGGTTATTTTATTTTATTTTATTTTTTTTTTTTTCAACATGTTGCCGTTGAATGGTTGATTTTGTCTGATTGGTGAATATCAAATT